TCTCCATGATTTACTTTAAGGACGCACTGGATGGCTTGTAACTGCTTCTGCATGCTGTGCAAGTTAATGGACTACTTTGATACTTTTATCACATAGTTCATCTTCTATTTGTTTCTGAAGAGCCTATGATTTGTGATTTTCTTTATGGGAACAGATTCCTATCTCATTTCTCCACTTAGTCATGTACAAAATACTTAGAAATACTGTATTATTTCCTTGACGTTTTGTAGTGGGTTCACAGTTTACAGGAACTGCTGAAAAGAAAATGAAGGACCTTTTACTAGGATGTTATTACAGGATGAAGTCATCTCTTTCTGCTCCAGTTCAGTGAAATACTTAATTTGTACTTTGAGCCTATGCTTAAAGACTTTGGTAATTTTGGATCTGGCTCACAAGTATAGGATCTCTTCTCTAAATGTCTTTGAGACACATTTTCAAAGGATAATAATAGAATTTATATAGTACTTTTGTCATAGATCCCACAGTGCTTTGTAATGGAGGCCCAGAGCAATATCTTCATTCTACGGTTGCTTTGCCTCAATTGCCTTCTACAATGTGCGTATTTAATTTCTCTCCAGTATGGGCTAGAATAAAAACTACTAAGGAAAAAAACTTAGTAAAGTTAAGACGTGATTTGTCCTCTTGAAGAAGTGGATTAAGCAGTAGTAACACAGTAGATCACTTTCCAAGAGGAAAGTAAATTGAGACTGATGAATTTTTAGAATTTCATTCAGTATAGTAGTAGTAGAAGGTTGGTAAATAGCAGAAGCTCAAAATAACAAATGGCTTCACTTGGGTAACAGCAGAGAGTGTTGGGATGAATTTTGGTTTGTTTTGTATCACTACTGTTCAGTGAAGTTTCTTGGTGAAACTACAGGAGACTTTTTCCTACTTACTGATTGCAAGCTAGTGCCCATTATGAAGCCCTATCTATGGTTGTCGGGGTCACTCATGAGGCAATATGGGTGCACTGTGGCCTCTGCACATGGAAGTGCTAGGCATGCATACAGGTTTCTAATACTATTTTTTTCTGGGCAGCTGAATGAAAATTTTGATTAGACGTCCGTAGTGAAAAAGAAAAAATGGAAATACCAGCTTTTCAGAAAGGAATAGCAAATCATCGGTTTTGATGAGCAGAAGTTGACTCACATTCTCAGCACCACCTTCAATTTGAATTATTCCACTGCAAAATCAAAATGAAAACAAAATGAAGATGCTGAGAAAGAATTTAATGTGAGACAAATTTGAAAAGATTAGATTATTTATGCAGATGTATAACCTGAAGGTTATAAAGACGATTATTTTGATGAATTTATTTGTCTTTTCTCAAAATAAAAGAAAAAACAAAGGAAATACTGAATACGCTGGAATTGTAAATCATACCGAATGTAATTTTTAAAGATTAGCCTGTGGAAGTCTCCAAATGTAGTAAAGTATGCACTATAGAGACAATGAGTTCTGGGAATTTTTTTAACAAGCAGGTGTTTCTGTGTGTAATAAAACTATCTCTAGATCTGGTAGTTCCATCCATTTCAGTGAATAAGCCAAACATCTACTGTAGCAGTTATGGGGGAGCTTCCTCAAAACCATGTTTCTTCATGATTTGCCGTCAGATTTTACAGTTTTTCTACAGCATCTGATACCAGTCACTGCTGAGAGAAGATCTCAGAGCAGCTGACGAGCGATCTGATGCAGTCTGGCATTTTCTCTCCTTGTGATGATGATGGTCATTTCTATTGTCTCTTGAAAGCAAAACATACCCAATAAGTATAGAGGAAGGGGTAGGGAGAAACTGCAGAAGATATTCAAAGATTGGGATCATTTATATGGTAGTAAATGAAAAGGTTATGATGAAATATATAGAGAGTTAATGTTAGGGAAGTGTGTGCTTCTGTTAATCATTTGTTTCAATAGGAGAGGCAGGAATAAGTCAGTAAAAATACAGATTAAGTATTCTGTGCAATTTCATGCAAGTACATCACTGAAGCCAAGAGCTTCGTTGGAATACAGAAAAAAAAATAGTGTGTGTGCGCGTGTGTGTGCGTGTGTGCGCGTGTGTGCGTGTGTGTGCGTGTGTGTGTTTGTATAATAGGAATTTAAATAAATATTTTTGATTTAAAGAAAAGCCATCATGCTTCAAGCCAAAATTGACCTCTTACTGGTGAGGCTTAGGAAGAAACTTCCCTGATACCTACGTCATACTTGTTTGTTTTAGAAGGCTGTTTGACTTTCTTTGATTTTCTCAGTATCTCATAGTGTCTATTATTAGAGAGAAAATTCCCGACTAAGACAGACCAGCAGTTGGGTTGAGTTTGGGCATATCCATTTTTCAATTCTGAGCTAATCTAATTTTCTGCTGGTACTGTGTGTAACTCAATTCAAAGCTAAAATGTTTTTAAAAGTAGTGGCACGTCCTCGAGCCAGGTCATTGACCTGAATTTCACAGTATAATTCATGTTGCTTGGAGTCAGTACGTTGTGTTCAGATTGAGCAGCCAGTCCTCCAGGGCGGACAAGAAGACCAATCTAAGAAAATCAGCAAAACCTTAGGCTGAATACTAAGATACAACTCCTGTTAACGATAATGAGACAAGGCTTACATATGTAGCAGTAAAGTACACGAGTGATCAGTTGTGCATATCCTGTTCTCAGTTAGTGGCGCCAGGGCAACTCATTTTTACTGTAATTTTATACTTTAAAGACAGCCCACCTATGCTATCAGTTTGGTCAGCTTTGTGGGGTGTTACATAGTTCTCTAACAGTGTTTGGTCATTTGCACAAATAGCCCAGGGGTTTCTGATACCTTCCTGTTCCCATACTTTCAGGGCTTCTGCAATCTTACAGCTGTGGGTGCCCCTGCTAAACTGCTCTCTGTTACGCACAGACTTCTAAAGCAACTCGCAGTTCACTCTACAGAACAATGAGATTTGAAAGTATGCATATGTAGTTGCGTATACATAAAATATAATTTCTTAACGCCTTGCTATTAATATGCATTTATGCCAATGTTATTGGTATGGGTTAGAATTTAATTCTTTTTGGGTTATAGTGAGTATTTTTATGGATGATATTGCAATACTGTGTTATGCAGACATAGTGGTAATGAGTCAGGAATTGGCACACTGTCCTCTGAGTCAGGATATTAGGGGGCATTGTGTACCAGAGGTACTTTCTTCTGGCTTAGCCGCAGACCTGACCATCTGTGGTCATAAAAGATCCTGGGAATATTTTTGTAATAACCTAGTTTAGTGACCAGATTTGATTATGAGTAATAGCATTTGAATGAACTTTCCCAAATTATTACTATTACTTCTTTCATAAAATATGCTTGGTCATGTTGTCATGTTGTCCTGTTTATATATGTAGTTATATGCATTTTAATCTGCTATTAATCATATCGAAGGCCCAGAGAAAACTATTGTTGCAGATGGTTTGCAAAGCTGTGGAACGCTCAGATCGCTTGTGAATATTGATTGTTGTAATTATGCCTGTGTGCATAGGCAGTTCAGAGACTGCCTTGAGATGATTAAAGGTTATTGTCTGCAAACAACAGATGAATGACTTCCTCTGTCCCCTGTTACACCTCTTGGGCATGAAAGTCACTAATCACACTGTTCTTCCAAATTTAAAAGCCTACAAGCAATCTAAACAAACAGTGGGAAGTTTGGTGATCCACTGGGATCTTATCAATGTTATAAAGCATGCTGAATACGTATTAAAATAAAGATCCTGTAGTGCCCTTAGGAAATAAGTAACTGCCCTTCATTTCTGTTAGAAGTCAACATAAATTTTAAGGTGTTTGACTGTGTCACTGAAATTTGATATATTTCAATACAGTGGAGGAAATATATTGTTAATTCCTATATTAATTTCCTTTGAAAACTCTCGATGGATATTTGTGATTCACATACAGCCGATTCATACTTCTTTTTCTTCTATTACAGCTTAGAACAATACAAACATATCTGACAAATTTTGTAACTCTGCTATGTGATTGTATACAGATGAGAGTTAACAGAGCATGTCTTCCCTAAAATAAGACAGAGGAAAATGTTTAATAACTGTCTCAAAATTATTTTTCTAGGTTATCCTTAAAGTGGTAAATAACAAACAGGAGTAGGATTTGATACACATTTGTATCCAGGGGCTTCTATCACTGATACGTTTTCATCTCTTCAGCAACACCGGCCTTACCACCTCTGTAAATCAAAACCTTTTGAATTTCTGTGATGGAGACTTGATGTGACATTGTGAGATATCACAGAGCTGTCCCATCTACTAGCAGTTTAGATTGCTCTAAGAGGCAGGGTTTTTTTTTAAGATGGGTGAGTGCAGAAGCCTAAAATAGAAAGGCTTTGCTCTCCTTTGCAGGCAACAAAAAAGAAGTAATTATTCCTTTGTATCTTCTGGCAGTGCCCAATAGCTGTAATGAGAAAAGTATTTTGTCTGAAAAAAATCCCCAAACCCACAGCCCCCCTCCCTCAGCTACTGAAGTGTCACCTGGCTGCAGGGCTTGACTTTCCGTATTGAAAGCCAAAGGCCTGACTTTGAGCTTATTCTTCAAGCTGGTAAGAGCTGGATCCCTCGCAGAGGCAGTGAACAGAGGGGCTACAAAAGCAGAAGCCTTGTTTGGGGCTAGGTCAACAACAGAAGGGATGCACCCGTGGCTGGGTGCATTCGTGCAGCGGACTGCACGTGACGTGCAAAAGTCAGGGAAATGATAATGTATTCTGGCTGGGAAGAGGAGACAGGCAAGTGTAAATCCCACAAGTAGCTGGCTGCGGCAGCGCGCTGAAAGCATGAGGACTTAAAATGACAGGCAAAAAATGGCTTCTAGGGTTATTCCCAACCACCAGAGCAAACAGAAGTCCCACGGGTAGGTATCCAGTGATAAAGCCACTCTCAATGACTTGGAAAAATACTGGGCAATAGAGAACAAAGGGAAAATGTGGCACAGTGGCAATGTTATGTTGCTGATATCAGTGTCTCATTGTCCTGTAGGTTTGAAGTTTGAGGAAATGCAAGAAAAGTTTGGGGAGGAATTCTTCAATATCTGCTTTGATGAGAATGAGAGAGTTCTTCGAGCTGTCGGTGGGACCCTTCAGGACTTCTTCAATGGCTTTGATGCTTTGCTGGAGCACATTAGAACTTCATTTGGAAGACAGGCCACCCTGGAATCCCCTTCTTTCCTATGCAAAGAGCTCCCTGAAGGCAATCTCATGCTTCATTACTTTCACCCACATCAGATTGTGGGATTAGCAATGATGGGAATGATAAAAGCAGCAGCAAAGAAGATTTACCACTTGGAAGTGGAAGTAGAACAGGTCACTAATGATAAGTTGTGTTCAGAGGGGACGAACCCAGGTAACTGCAGCTGTCTGACTTTCCTTATCAAAGAACATGAAAATGCAAATATCACAAAAGCACTTCCACCGGGAACTTCCCAGTCCCCCTTAGACCTGAGGATTAGCATCAGCACCTTCTGCAGAGCTTTCCCCTTTCACCTGATGTTTGATCCAAACATGCTGGTTCTCCAGCTTGGAGAAGGTCTTAGGAAGCAGCTCAGATGTGACACCCATAAAACTCTGAAATTCCAAGACTGCTTCGACATAGTTTCTCCTAAAATCAGTGCCACATTTGAACGAGTTCTCCTGAGATTGTCTACTCCCTTTGTCATCCGGACCAAACTTGAGGATTCTGGCTCTGAAAAGAAAGATAAGGTAAGAACATTAATTTGGAAGGGGATGTGTGTATATGTGTGCAATGGGAGAGAATTATTTATTCAGAGAGAAGCAGCTCAAGTCCTGTGTACTCTGGAAAGCTCACTTATGCCTTGCAAACAGGGGCTAAGTGGTATTCCCCAGCCAAGTGAATGTTTTCCTAAATTATTTATAAGCTTTGCCTGTGATGTTTTAGCAAATCGTGACATTGCCATTCAGAAAATTCTGTGCTGTGGAGTTGAATAGTGCAGTTTAAATCAAAAGGGTGAGGAATTTCGCAAAATGCCCATATCTAATCCTTAATTTCACTCCAGATATATTATAACAATAATAGTTGTTAAGCCATTTAGTAGGGAATAGCTTTCAGTATGTTTTATGAAAGACTCTCACTGCAGGGTTCACACTGCCACTTTATTATACCCTATTTCCCTATTTCGAAATGCTGCTTTCCTCTGTGTTTCTTCTTATCTTCCACCCTGCAGTCAAGGGAACCACAGCTGTAAGTGGTACCAAGTATCACACCAGTTTTAATGCTTTCCAGTCATTTAAATAGGCACTTGCCCTCCTACATTGCCTCTTCCCTCTGTTTTAGAAGAGAGCTACGAGCTACTTTAACTAGTGAGCCCTTTGTCAAGTTCAGCGCATCCCAGGTGACTTAGGTGAGAACACGTCTTCCAGAGTGGACCTCTCCAAGGGTTGGATGGAGTTTGTCTCATTGAATATCCTTGAATTATGGGAAGGATTTTTGGTGTGAAATTGGGTTCCAGCTTTATGCACCGAAGTGCTTATACTTAATGCTTACATTGAAAGCCTATGCGTGGGTGCCTTGGAAATACTGCTGCCCTAAGTGAAGGAATTATTGATTTCAGGGTTTTTAAGAGATAGCACCCAAGAACAGTCAATTTCAATCACACTGGATTCTTAGACACCTAAGTTCTGCTTAGGTGCCACATTTACAATTTAGGTGGTCTGGATATAGCTTGAGAAACTCCGCCTCTGTTTTGTTACCTACACTGGGCCAGAGTTTCAGAAAGACCCCTGTGGTAGCTGCATATTGACTTCTGGGTTCTTTTCAAAATATAGCCACTTCTGACAGCAGCAATGTTTCCAGCTCCTCTTTGGCTCTGGTCTTTGGCACCATTAAACATGTTTCTGCTGCATCTTCCCCAGAAACAAAATGTTTCCCCCGAGAGAAGCAAACTAGTGCTTCTCATTTTGTGTGAATTGATGTAATTCAACCTATTTAAAACCAAAAGGGAGTTTATTTTTCAGAACCTCTCCTCAAAGTCACCCTAGCCTTTAATTACGAAAAGGAAATGTTGTGTGAAAAGTTTGGAGGTGTTGGCTCTGAGCTACCTTTCGGCACAATTGTTTCTCCTTTGAAAGAGACTTGTGCCGTGCTCCTTCCTCCCTCGGAGCCTGCCCATCCCTCTCAGGCACCTTTCCCTGCCCTGGGACAGAGTCACAGCCCTTTGACCATCTTCTGCTCTTCACGAATCTGCTGTAAATCACTCTGAAGAGGAAGAAGGTTTCAGGGACGGGGTCGGGGGGATAGACGGACACGACTTTTAAAACTTTCTTCCCTATCTAATTACAAGTTAGACAAAACATTCTCTTAGCTGGGCAGGTTTCATGCACTTGTGGCTTGCTCATAGGAGATGTGGCAGGGAGTGGAGCTTGCTGGAGGCAGGTTTGAGCAGCCAGTTTGTGAAGGAACTCTCATTTGAAAAGCTTGTTCTGTACCGTCAAGCCGTGCAGCTCTGAGTGCATCTTTGTGTCATTGCTGTTTGTACCATGTGTCATTACAGGTGGGTAATGGATCAAATCAGTGGTGGGCCCAGCTACCACCACTCGAGAGAGTGACCCTCTCTGTCTTGAAGTCATGTGTAGAGTCAGACCCTGAACAAGTGTCAGCACTAGCACCACAGTAGCAACTCAAATTTTCTTGAGAAGCGGGTGGAAGGGAGTGGCAGTAAAGGCAATCCTTTGTCTGCCAGCAGTTAGGAGAAAAATTGTGTCTTGAACAGCAAGGTGTAAATGGGAGAGAAAATGGTGGTGGTGAAGTGCAGGGGTCCTGAGGCAAATGCTGTGCTGCAGGCATGGGAATTAATTTGAGAACGTCAGTTTGGCTGAAGAGGTGTTTTCTTCTGACTCACCCATTTTATAAGCACTTTCCAAAGGTTTCTGTTTCTGAGTAGCTAAACGAAGCTTTGTGAGTAGTTAAACAAAGCTCAGCATGTGATGTGTTTTGCTAGATACTCCCTTTTTCCAAAACGGAAGGTTGCACAGATTCAGAGATTGTGATGGTCTTGCTTACATAGCTTTTGAGAGGAGCGACATGGCAGTAACTGTTATGTCATGCTCACGTCCTTAATATCTCCTGGATGAAACAAACAGACTGAGCCTTGGGAACTGCATGCTGTATTATTTTCCCAGAGCTCATGTCACTCATGTAGCGCATTTTGGAATTCATTTCAATTTGCCAACACTTGTTTGGAAGTTGGATATTAGGCAGGTAGATCAGTGGCTGTAAGCATGACCCCACTTAAAAGTTGGCAGTAACTGACTTAGGTATTTCCCTATTTCTCTGTTACACACTTCTATTCAGTTCATACCAGAATTGCATCCCACTTACAGCTATTTATTTTTTTTTTTAGAAAATTCTGACTCTGCAATAACCTTAGTGCTTTTCAGACTTGGTTACTTTAAATGACAGTTGAAGGGATGTGACCCAGACAACTCTGCTGCAGTTTTGAAGCTGTTCAGATGTCTCAGTGGTTCCGCAAGAAATAAAAAATGTTTTAAAAGGCTTTGCGATGAACAGAAGACCTTTCAGCCTCTCTTCGGAGCACTTTTATCTTCATTTCAATACATAAATTAGATCTTCTTTCAGGCTTGCAGTGAGAAAGACAAAATAAAACAGTTTTCATTTAGTCCTGGCACCAGTTCTGCGTTCAGATGAAAGTAAGTCACAAATCATAGTGTTTCCCTAACTCAGCACCCAGAAGCAAATTAAAATAACCACCTATCCTGACTTTCAGGGTGCTTAGTGCTTGACCCATGTATGCAAAGGCTCATTTGTGTGCTTTGATTTACTGGGATTTGAATCACTGGAATAAATGACTTGGCTTTATAATGCTATCCTAAATATCTGATGTAAGGCCTGTGAGGTCTGGGTCATAGGTAGCACTTTCTGTGGAGATGTATGTACACCTTTGCAGAAGCACAGCTTCATGCATCAATGCATCGATATCTCAGCAAAGTTCTGTTAATTTGATATGTCACCAGCTGTTCCTTGGAGCTTTGAACATTTACAGGATCCCATTGTTGTAGGGACCAAACAGGAAAAAGAAGCCCCACCCAAAGAACGTTGACTCTATAGCTTTAATCCCAATTTTCAACACCATCCATACTTCTGGGTCATAATTCTAATGTTTTGATGTTTGCTTGGGGGATATTTCAGTCTCCATTATACAATGGATACATGTGGACAATGCAAGCATTTATTCCGCAAAACAGCAATTGTATAAATTTATAAGGTCAGCAGTCTCACTGATTTTACCTGAAGTTATCATAAGTTTGCAACTAAACACACTTGTAAGTCTGTTACAGACTAACAGTCTGTTAACAACTAAATTGTACAAACTAATCCAGAACAACACAGGATGTGATGGTTTGCTTCCATTCTTTCTTCCCTCCCTCCTTCTGTCCTTCCATTTTTTTTTTTTTTCTGCAGTGATCAAGGTATCTACACTGATGCTTTAGGTTTCTTCTTGGTTATTTGGCACATTTGAAATTGTCTATATGAACAATTATGACTGCCTTTAGATTAGGTTTCCTGGTATGCACGCAGCTCTTTAGATGTGTAAAAGCTGAATGTGATCGGCCTCTGAGGTTTCCAGTTTTCCCATGCAGCTAAATTCTTGTTATTGTTTGTTGTTTATAGTATGGTACTAGTACTACCCCGATGCTGAAGAGAGCATTAGGACCCTGTTGCTCTACTTCTTGTACAAACATTCTGTTGTTTTTCACATTTCACACTAATTCTTATTCAGGGTTTTTTTGTGTTTAATTGGAGAGCTTCACGTGCATGCAGTCAGATTTTCCAAATTTTGGGTATTATCCCTAAATAAGAAGATCACAAATACTGCTGTTTCACCTCTCTAAGGAAACTCATTCTACACCTCTCTCTCTGGGAGCAATTATTGCAACAATCAAAAATACATTTATTGTGGCAATTAACCATTTGGGATTGATTGCTTGTAGCTTCACACATGGTTAATACAACTGTACTCCACAAGAGTTTAATGAAAGTTAGTGGAGTCACATGGAATAAGATATAATTTAAATTGAGAGGACTGGGTCTAAACTTGTCTGCTGGGGTGTTCTGAAGCCCCCATCAAGCCCATCCACTGAGGTTTCCTTTCCGTGAAGGCGCTGGCATGTGAGGGAGCTGATGGTTGAGCACTGTCACGTAGGGGGACAGGAGCTGCCTTCCTCTAGGCACCCCACAGTGCTCGGTGGTGGGTCCTCCTGGCCAACTGACTGTCCGGGAAGCACCACCGTTCCCTCCCTGGCAGCACCTCCAGGTGTTTGTGCAGAGCAGATGGGGTGTTTGCACCCAAGTCTCTCCCTGACTCACTCACCTGTGCAGAGAGTGTGTTGACATGACTGTTTCAGTGTTTTGCTTGTGAGAACTACTTAGACGTGTGGTATCAACATTACTGTCTCTCATCTGAGCTTCTGCAGGACTTACACTTTCTTACTTGCCCTACAGAAGTCAATTCCTCATCTCTGAGTCACCGTTGTTTTTAAGGCAGATCATCTTTTACCATATCTCTTTGTATATGCTACTTGTTTTCACCGAGCTCCCCAATGGATATTACCTGATTCTGCTGCCTCAATGACTTTGCCTTTCTCAAGCAGCCTGGTAACTTCCCCCTCACCTTAATGGTGAGACCTTGCACAAATGTTTCTTTTAGTTGCCACCAAGGCTGCAT